TTGGAGACTAATGCATGTGCAGGTGGTGCATTCAGCACCATTCTTACCCTCAGCGGGAACCAGTTCACATGCCAAGCAAAGCTTGCTGCCTTCAGACAGAGGGGTCTGCTTCACAGTGAAACAGCAGGTAAGGGGGGGAAAAGGACCCGAGCTGTAGCACGGAAACTGGAGGTGGTTAAAAGGTGATGGTTAATTATTTCTTGTGATAATTCACCTTGCGTGCCACCTCTGCCTTCAGTCATGCAGTTGCAGATGCACAGCGAGTATCTGGGGGTGTTTGTCACCTCCCCTTCATCCTGACTACATCGGACACCTGCACCGTGTCTCTCAGCTGGAACAGCACCAAACCTTCCAGCTCTGTCTCAGCCAGCACGGCAGCTCAGAGGCTTCAGCCAAACAACACGGAGCCACGCACCAAGACGGTAAAGACATACTGCACCATCCCGAGGACAGAAAAGGGAATCCTGGGTTTTACTGATCCTGTAAAAATCAGCCTCAACCGATCGCCTGACACAGTTCTTGTGCAGAGCAGGAGGAAGTGGCTGCTGGTACATGCCGGGATCGGCGAGCCCATGCCTGGCTTCCTTCCTACGCGTCTACAAGAACACTTTCTTGCCATGGCAAACGCCTGCTCTCCTCAGGGCTAGTTTCACCTCCAAGATAAGCGACCTTGACCATGACGAACACAGATCACCCTAAGCAGCCATTTCCGTATCTATGGCCAAGAAACCACTAATCGCGTGCCCAAGAACCGTATTTTAAAATTTAGGAACTGCTGCTTGAGATAAATTTTAATATAACCACACTGAGCTCATCAGTGCCATACACTTGCTCAATCCATGGGACTTGAAGCATTCCCCCAGATAACGAGGAGACATCCTTAAAGTAACCGATGAGAAAACAACGATTCGTTACTCCGCATACGCAGCAAGGTATCAGCGCTGCCGGATTTGAGGTGTGCAGCGAGGAGGAGGAAGCCTGGCAGCTGCAGGTCCCACCGGCAGAGCAAGCTGGAGGTACGACACCGGCGATCTGCATCCTGCTGCTGCAACACAACGCGTGCAGAACGCGCTGCGTCTGAGCTCTGTACGCGTCTTCCACCGCCTGTCTCCGCACTCCGCACCCTCTTTCGTCTCTCAGCTAAAGTCAGACAGCTCTCACGGAACAAACGACAGCAGAAAGCCTCTCTTTCCTCTGACGTACCTCCTCCTCCTGTGACTTCTTTAAAGCTTAGGCTGACTCACAACCCCAGCTGTGTCCTCTGCTGAAATGACTGACTCGTCCAGCCCAGGACAGTATAAACATTAATGATGGATGAAGAACCCTGCCTTAAATTATGCTCTGTGGTAGGAGCAGTGTACAAAACAATGTACAAAAGAAGATTATTTGACAAAAAGCACAATAGAGGAATGGTGCTGAGAGCTAGAACAAGGATGGGACTTGAGAGAACTGAGAACTTCTCTCATAACCAGAGAGAGAGTGACAGCCCAGAAAGCCAACCGT